GGGAGGGGAGTTAAAGACCCTCTGCTTTAAACAAATTCAAAATAGGAGGGTGCCTGGGTGGCTCAGTCAGTTAAGTGTCTGCCTTCAGCTCAGGTCCTGATCTCAAGGTCCTGGGATGGAGCCCTAGGGTGGGGCTCCCTGCTCAGCGGGGAGTCTGTTTCTACTCCTCCTCCTCTCTCTTCTCCCCTCCCCCTCCTGCTCTTGCTCTCTCAAATAAATAAAATTAAATTAAAAAAAGAAATACGTAGATTCTTAGAAATGATCAAATTAGGAACTTTTTACAGAGGCTTCACTATTGATTCTTAAAGTAACAAGAATTTAAAAGTATCCAATTTGCAACAAATACAAACATTATATGCATAATTGGGTCATAGAAAATCTGATACATTAGTATTTTTGACTTCTCCTACCTGAACTAACTATATAGGGGCTGTATGTTGAATTCTGTGCCCTCCTTCCCTCCCCCCCCCCCCCGCTTCATGTTCTTTGGTGGGACTTTTTTCCCACCTTCCTTACAAATTTAGGTGGAGGAACACAGTTAACTTTAAGTATGACCCTACTTAGTTGTCAAAATATTTAAGATGCTGAAATTAAAATACGTATTTGTGACATGAAATAGGCCTTGGAAATGCTGGATGAGGGAGTTCTCCCACTCCTTGGGATAGGAAGTAGAGGGAAGGAAGGATTTTGGCTTTCTAAAAGGTCAAGATATTTGAGAAGTCACTATTTTTTTTTAAAGATTTTATTTACTTGAGAGAGCATGAGACGGGGGAGGGTCAGAGGGAGAAGCAGATTCCCCACTGAGCAGGGAGCCCAAAGCGGGACTTGATCCTGGGACTCTGGGATCATGACCTGAGCTGAAGGCAGACACTTAACTGACTGAGCCACTCAGGCACCCCAAGAAGTCACTTTGGAAAGTCCTTACCTAAGGTGATTCTTAAGGATTGATATGTCATTGTCACTGGCCCCAGTTTACCCTTCATTGGAGAGTTCAGAGAATAAGTAAAGGGTCCTGTAACAGCGGTAGGTTGTGACCCAGAGTCTTGTGGGGAAAAAGAGGTCCTAAGAATAGCCTTCTGTTGAGTTTATTTACCTCTCTTGTGTACTCTTTCTCTGTGGCTTACCTAATTAATTCTTAGGAAAGTATTTTTTCAGCTTTGAAACACTCCCACCTTTTAAAGTTTATCTGACTTGCTTGTGGCAACTACTCAGAAAGAATGTATGTATATGCATGAAGAGCAGTTTAATATAATGGCTAAGAGAATGAGTTTTATTTTATTTTATTTATTTATTTTAAAGATTTTATTTATTTATTTGAGAGAGAGAGAGAGAGAATGAGAGACAGAGAGCATGAGAGGGAGAAGGGTCAGAGGGAGAAGCAGACTCCCTGCCAAGCAGGGAGCCTGATGCGGGACTCGATCCTGGGACTCCAGGATCATGACCTGAGCCGAAGGCAGTCCTCAACCAACTGAGCCACCCAGGCACCCTATTTTATTTTTTTTGTAAGATTTTATTTATTTATTTGACAGAGAGAGAGACAGCGAGAGAGGGAACACAAGCAGGGGGAGTAGCAGGCTTCCCTCAGACCAGGGAGCCGGATGCGGGGCTCGATCCTAGGACCCTGGGACCATGACCCAAGCCGAAGGCAGACGCTTAACGACTGAGCCACCCAGGCACCCTAAAATTTATTTTTGAGATTTATTTATTTGAAAGAGTGTGTGAGTGAGTGAGTGTGGGGGGAAGGGCGGGCAGAGGGAGAAGGAGAGAGAATCTGAAGCAGGCACCACACTCAGTGCAGAGCTGGACATGGGGCTGAACTCAACCACCCTGAGATCTTGACCTGTGCCAAAAATCAAGAACCGGACACTTAACCAACTCAGCCACCCAGGTGCCCTGCACTTAAAATTTTTTGATATAGATTTGATACAAATGGCCAATTAAGAATTGTTTGATCATTTCCATGATTTTTTTAAAAATTTAATCAGTTTATTTTTTAAAGTAAGTGCTAGGCCCGACATGGGGCTTGAACTCAACAATCCCGAGGTCAAGAGTCGCATGCTCCTCCAACTGAGCCAGCAAGGCGCTTCTGATTCCATGTTTTCCTGTTTTGGGGACCCTTGGTCTGTTGCTTCATTTTATTTTTTTAAGTTTTTATTTAAATTCCAGTTAGTTAACATACAGTGTAATATTAGTTTCAGGTGTACAATGTAGTGATTCAGTACTTCCGTACACCACCCAGTGCTTATCACAAGTGCCCTCCTTACTCCCTATCACTGATTTCACCCATTCCCCCCCCCCACCTCCCCTTGGTGACCATCAGTTTGTTCTCTGTAGTTAAGAGTCTGTTTCTTGGTTTATCCCTCTCCTACCCCTCCGGCTGTTCGTTTTGTTTCTAAAATTCCACATATGAGTAAAATATGGCATTTGTCTTTCTCTGACTGATTTTGCTCAGCATAATACACTCTAGCTCCATCCACATCATTGCAAATGGTGCTGTTTCGTTTTGTACACTTGATTTTAAAAGCCAGGATTTCCAGTATTTCAAATCCCAAACCAAATTTTAGTCTAGAAGGTTTTTAAGTAACTACTCTGCTGAATCTGTTATGTGTTTTATTTGCTTTTTTCCAACTTTTTCATAGTATTTATGAGTTCCAAAGTAAGGGTAAGAACTTGAAGCATTGTTTGGTATTTCACAAATTAAGTCATTTTGGGGTAATACTAGCATTTTAACTAGACCACTATATTAAGTTTTCTAGGAAGCTTCCTCCTGGGAAGGCAAGGGTTTTTTTGTTTGTTTGTTGTTGTTGTTGTTGTTTTATTTATGGAGAGAGAGAGAGCATAAGCAGGGGGACCAGCAGGCAGAGGGAGAAGCAGGCTTCCTGCTGAACTAGGAGCCCGATGTGGGACTCAATTCCAGGACCCTGGGATCGTGACCTGAGCCAAAGGCAGATGCTTAACCGACTGAGCCACCCAGGTGTCCCATGGGAAGGCAAAAGTTTTAAGTAGAGATCACAAGACTCTGTGAAGGACAACAGCCCCCTGAGTCATGATTCCAGTAGGGTATGAGGGTAGCAGGAGCAAGCTCATGGAGTACCTCAGCCAGTATTCCCTCAGTCAGTGCTGCTAATTGACAGGAGAATCATTCCTAGAGAAAACTCATTTCTGTGGTCAGGTCCTGTTTGGATTGATGTCTGTTCTGTTAGGAAAGTGCTCAAAATAGCTGATGCCACATAGTACTCTTAGATGCTCACTCCACTGTCTGAGGATTGGTACCTTCCCAGTAGATCATGGAAGTTCCTGTTAAGTTGGAGCCCAAGGAAGACAGCCACTTGCTCATTTTTCCAGCCTTGAGACTTTGTTATCAACACCATTAAAGCAGTCTAAGAGGGGTTTTCAAACCATGTTCCCAAAACCCCTTGCTGAAGGGGAGGGGCCCAGCTCTCTACCTGAATGGGAACACCTCAGCTGCTATTAGCTTAATATACTGTTGGGATTCTTTCTGCTTAAGATTTTTTTTTTTAATGGATCCTGCAGTGGTAACAAAAATTTTTTTTTCTTGAATATTACAGTATTTACTGACACCTGGGTATTGAGACAAGTTTCTTTATCTTTAGCAAACTGAATGTGGCATGTAGAGTAAGAGATTGGGAGAAATAGCAGTTGTTATTTAAAAGACAGAAAAGGCTCTGAGAAATCCTGCTTCTATGTGACATTTGTTATCCCTAAGGTTTTCTAGCATAAGCCAGATTTCTGTTGTTTCAAGATTTGGTCAACATAGCTCAGAAGTCCAGCCCGGAGGGCCTTAATAGACACTGCTGGTATCAGGCCTGCAGCTCCGTTGGAATGCCTTCATATTGAGCCTGAAATTCTGCCCCCATTTGTACTAGTGAGGCCCACAGCTAGAGGCTTAGAGGTCACCACGCTAACATGTGACTCAGCACAAAGGAGAACTCCAGGCTGCCACCTGTTTTACCCAGGTTCGCTGACAGCGGCTGTTTTTACGCTGCACCCAGGTACTAGCCTGTATTTGTACTCGCTAGATTCCTTACATTCTTTTCCTGTGTGGGTTCCAGTAAGCTGATTAAAGGGATGGGCAAGAGAGTCAACATTTATTGAACACCTGCTATGTGCCAGGCACTGTGTATGTGCTTCAGGTGTATTTTTTATTTTTTAAGATTATTTATTTATTTATTTATTTTTAAAAGATTTTATTTATTTGACAGAGACACAGCGAGAGAGGGAACACAAGCAGGGGGAGTGGGAGAGGGAGAAGCAGGCTTCCCGCTGAGCAGGGAGCCCGATGCGGGGCTCGATCCCAGGACCCTGGGATCACGACCCGAGCCGAAGGCAGACGCATAACGACTGAGCCACCCAGGCACCCCTAAGATTATTTATTTATTTGAGAGAGAGAGACATAGTGAGAGCGAGTACGAGCAGGGGAGAAGAGGATGAAGCAGGTTCCTCACTGAGCAGGGAGCCCAACGTGAGGCTTGATTCCCAGGACCCTGCCAAAGGCAGGCTCTTAACCAACTGAGCCACCCAGGTGCCCCTCAGATGTATTACTCAAAACAGCCTTATGAGATAGGTACTCTCATCCCTAATTTCAGGTAAGCAAAATAAGTAACTTTCCTCTAACTCAGGTTTCTCTCTTTTAATTATAAATGATGTATGAGTCAGTGATATGATAATAGTGATGTATGGCAACAGATGGTAGCTACACTTGTGGTGAACTTAGCATAATGTATAAACTTGTGGATTCACTATGTTGTACACCTGAAACTAATATAACATTGTGTATCAATTATATTAAAAAAAAGTTGTATAAATTGGTGATGGTTTTCTGTCAGACCTCAAACCAGTTTTGTTCTCCCCCTTTCCCTTATGTTTTATAGTATTGGTTCCCCTTTTGTGATTCTTTCAGGGAAAGGTGATCTGTAGACAACCTAACTATGGCTTGTGAGACCCTGAATCCTAACCATGATGTTATTGACCTTTCCTAGGGTCCTATCCTTCCCCTAAAGCTGGAGCAACTCTGGTCGTGTACAAGGACCTGCTGGTGCTGTTTGGTGGCTGGACGCGGCCAAGCCCGTATCCCCTACACCAACCAGAGAGATTCTTTGATGAAATACACACTTACTCACCTTCTAAAAACTGGTAAGCCACAAAGATAAGATCTTTTCAATCCTTGAAATCTAATAAAATGACTTACCTTTTTTGTGTCCAGGAATCTCTGAGAATTTGGTAAAAGCTCTGGACTCTTTTCCAGGAAACAAATTTACATGTGCACAGATTTGCTGACAGTTTCAAAGAGTTTACAGGACCCCCTTAAAACCTAAAGCTAAGGGGTGCCCGGCTGGCTCAGTCGGTGGAGCATGTGACTCTTGATCTCCAGGTTGTGAGTTCAAGCCCCATGTTGGGTATAGAGCTTACCTTTACGAAAGTTTTTTTAAAAGGTAAAAAAAGAAGAAGAAAAAATTAAAAAAAAAATAAATAAAGCTAAGAACCTCTGTTCCAAAGAGAAAAAGTGGAAGAGATTTATTCCTCTTCCTAGAAAAATAAATGTGCCATTTGGAGAATAGGGGTTCTTCAGTTTTGGCTGCTCATTCCTCAGGCATGCTGTGGATCCAGATGATTCATTGTTCTCTGCTATGTCTCGAAGACTGATTCCTGACACTCTTTTTCCTTTTTCCTTGTGATGGACTACTTAGTACAGGGCTCTTGGCAGCTGTGGCTGATCAGGACTGTAGAAAGAAGTGGAAGGTGGTGCTTCTTTAGCACATCAGGCTGAAGCAGCCAAGGAGCCATGATGGCGTCTCTGGTCATCTCTATACTCCACCTCTAAGCGATACACACTGAGAACTTGAAAGTGAGCATAGCTTTAGCAGGTTTGTAGGAAAGGCATAATACCTTCTGCCATCTTCCATTTATTATCCTAACAGTATCTCCACTGAAGGTGATAGGATTGTCATTTTAAAGGATACCTACTTACTGTTTCCACCTTAAACACATAAGACCAGATACAGGTGGTGCTGACTTGCTGGCTCCCTCCTCTCTTTTTGTATTAGGTGGAACTGCATTGTGACAACCCATGGGCCACCTCCAATGGCTGGCCATTCCTCCTGTGTGATAGATGATAAAATGATTGTCTTCGGTGGCTCCTTAGGATCCCGGCAAATGTAAGTATACTTGGTTTTGCTGCCTATCAACCTGAAGGCAAATACTCCTGGGAATAACGGGTCAGAAGAGTGAACTAGTCAGGTCAGTATTCCTCAGCATGGTTCTAATTGATCCAACCAGTTCTTGCTTCCTAGCATTCTAGTTTTTGATCCCCTAATCACAGAGCAATAGGTTGGAAAACTTCCTCCATAAAATCAGAGCTGTGTAGAATCTTTTTATTTGGTGTGTGGTTCATTCGGTGGGATCAAATTCTTACATAGCCTCCATCTTGTTTGTTTCTACCTGTGCCTACAGAAGGCCATCTTCTACGAGGCACAGAGTGCTTTTACTTGCTCTCTCCGTTGTGTCCCAGCCTGTGCCCTCTTGGGCTTTGTAGAAGAGAGGTAGATTGACAGCAGGTTGTAAATGATTCATTCTCCAAATTAGATGGGTTGGGGGAGTGGGTAGGAGGGAGAAAACTGTCAGGTCCGATGCACTTCTGTGAGGCTGTGCTCCCTACCTACTGTCCTTACCATCTCTGGCCACAACTGGCCAGCTCAGGCCAGAGTCAAGGGCCAGAGCAATCCATCGGAATCACTCTTTATCTGAGTTGATGGTAGCTGCATTAATGGTCATGAGAGGGAAGTTGATGAGCTGTCAACAGTAAAAGCATTCCAGACCCAACTGTCTTCTCTGTTAGACAAGGTATTCCCCATCTTCCCATTTCAAAACAGTTGTGGAGAGACTGAGCTGCCCCCCGGATGAGAAAGTTTAGGGTAAACTTTATAGTATTAGAGTTCTTATTCCTGTGTTCCTCTGTATGAGTAAATGACCTTAGCGAGGTGACGGTAAAATAGAGACTGCCTTCCAGTAGTCTGTCCTTGCCATACTGGTCCCTTGGGGGTTGGAGATGCCAGTTTGTCCTTAATAAAACTGCAGATCTCATTAGCCATGGTGAAATTACTTTTTGTAGCCAGAATCGATAAATCTTTATCTCCTGGACAGTGATAGAGCTACCTTTTACATCAGTTTTTTCTCTTCCTTGTGGTTTTTGCTTTTGAATGGCTATATCTTGACCAGTAGCTATTTCCTGCTATCACTGGTTCACTCTTACTTCAGGTACTAGTATGTGGCTGCAGACATGACTGAAAAGAGGCTTTATGGGTCAGTGGGAAGAGCAAAGGTTTGAAGGTCTTGAGATGGGTTCCAGGGAGAGGAGGGGAAGAAAAATATAGTTTAAGATGCTATGACCAGAGCGTGAGGGACGCCACGAATTCCGTTTGGAGGCATCTTTCAGCTCGCCGAGTAGACCCCATGAGCAAAGCTCACCTCCCAAGTTGAAAACATTTATGGACAAGAAATTGTCATTGAAATTAAATGGTGGCAGACATGTCCAAGGAATATTGTGGGGGTTCGATCTGTTTATGAATCTTGTGATAGATGAATGTGTGGAGATGGCAACTAGTGGGCAACAGAACAATATTGGAATGGTGGTAATACGAGGACATAGTGTCATCATGTTAGAAGCCTTGGAGCGAGTGTAAACAATGGGTGTGTTCATCAGAAGAAATCAGCTGCTTCCACATGTCCCCTTTACTACAATATAAAAATCAGGTCGTGTGCATTTTCATATTGAACTTTTTTGTTAAATAAACTTTTATAATGGTAAAAAAAAAAAAAAAGATGCTATGACCATGGCACTTTGCTGGGCATCTTTATAAATGTAACTTCCAGGGGCACCTGGGTGGCTCAGTCGTTAAGCGTCTGCCTTCGGCTCAGGTCATGATCCCAGGGTCCTGGGATCGAGCCCCACATTGGGCTCCCTGCTCTGCGGGAAGCCTGCTTCTCTCTCTCTCTCACTCCCCCTGCTTGTGTTCCCTCTCGCTGTGTCTCTCTCTGTCAAATAAATAAAAAAAATAATTAAAAAAAAAATAAATAAATAAATAAATGTAACTTCCAGGGGCACCTGGCTGGCTTAGTCGGTAGAGCGTGCAACTCTTGATCTCAGGGTCATGAGTTCAATCCCCATGTTGGGCATGGAGCCTACTTAAAAATAATAACTTAAAAAATAAATAAAATATAAATGTAACTTCATTTATATCATCTCTGTGGTCCCTGGGAGCTCCCAACTCCTTCAACCTTATTTCCTTATCTTATAGGAGCAATGATGTCTGGGTCCTTGACCTCGAGCAGTGGGCGTGGTCCAAGCCGAACATCTCCGGCCCCAGTCCTCATCCTCGAGGTGGCCAATCTCAGGTGCTCAGGAATTAAAATAACTATTCAGCAAACACTGTAGCATCTTCCAGTTAGGATGGGAAAGGGAGGAGGGAGTCAGGTAAGCTGCCAACATGCATAAGCCAAAGAGACTTTGTCGTTCTTTTTTGCTGGTACTTATTTTTCAACTTCTAATGGGTTGTATTTATTTTTAGTGCCTTTATATTATGCCTCTCCCCAAAACATTTACTTTGCTGTTTCATTTCTCAAGAGAACCCTGCACTTTATGTACGCTCACGTTAATGTTTGATCAACAAGGAATATATCCATTCAGGTGAATCATCAGTAATTTGTTCACAAGGATCGGAATTGACATGGTTTTGGGAGAATGGAGAGTTTATGGTGACTGGAATACTCTAATTTGGGTTCTGGGTAGGCTATTTTCATATACCACTGACGCATAGGAGATCAGATGCCTGTGTCTTTGTAGGTTTATTTTAAATGTCTTCCTCTCCCCAGATTGTCATAGATGATGCAACTATCTTAATCCTTGGAGGGTGTGGCGGTCCCAATGCTGTGAGTATTGCTGGTGTGGCATTACAAGGCACATGCTGCTAAGGGTTCAAAACTTGCTCCCCGTCTCACCTTGTGAGCATGACGTCCTTTTTATTGAGAGAGTACCTTTTTCACTTTGGGTATATAGCCATGGTATTTTCTGGCCAAACTCGGCTCTTTTTCTTTTCTTTTCTTTCTTTTTTTTTTTTCCTGTGGGGTGAGAGGTGCTTTAAATCAGAGACATTTGTCTCTTAAATATTCATATCTATATCTATATTCTTCCTGCTCCCGCTTCCTCTTTAGGCTGTAAGGTTTGCTGCTATCGTTTTTTTCAAGGAAGAGTGGGACAGAAAAACAGGCTGCTAACTGCCAGAGTTTACATGGAATTTATTTAAGAATGCAGATTCAGAAAGTTGCGGATATGTATTATCTACCCTCTCCCCCACCAACACACTCAACACACACAACCACAGGCAAAATTCAAAACCACTTACAATTGATTCATGGGTTATAAGCACAATCGCATGTTCTGGGCCAGTGGTAGTGTGTGAATGAACGAGGGTATGAGTGAATGAGTAACCACAAATGTTGCTATTCTTTCTCAAGAGCCTGCACATTCTCTAGACCAGACAGCACAGCTTTGGGATTCCCACTATGTGTATGTGTTGTGTAGTGTACCTCACTGAGTCCTGGTGTTGGTCCTTCTCTTCTAGCTCTTCAAGGATGCTTGGTTATTGCACATGCACTCGGGCCCCTGGGCCTGGCAGCCACTCAAGGTAGAAAATGAAGACCATGGGGCCCCAGAACTGTGGTGCCACCCAGCTTGTCGGGTAAGCAGGGCACTGACTGTAAAGCCAAATTGGCTTGTCAGATTTCCAAGCAAATTTGTATGGAAATAAAAAACACCTTGATATCATAAAAGAAGTGGACATTAACCATTGCTCCTTGGGCATTGCTCATATGTGAACCTCTAGGTGGGAAACCTATGTGAGCCCCATTGATCCCTTTTTTTTTTTTTTAAAGATTTTATTTATTTGACAGAGAGAGACAGGCAGAGAGGGAACACAAGCAGGGGGAGTGGGAGAGGGAGAAGCAGGCTTCCCG